CTGCAATACCTGCTAAACTGATGACCGTTTCCGCCTAGTAGGACAACGGCAGCAGACACATAGGAATAGCAAAACCTGCAAGTTCCTTTCTATGCCATTCATTATTCTGAGTTGGAAATATTCCTTCAGCGTCACTGGGTCAGAATCTCTGGACTCCTTCCCTTGCAGTATTATGGGTCTACATAAACTAAATGCACTGCAGCTGTTCAAGAAGGCAGCACACTGCCACCTTCGCCCTGTATAAAGATGCTGTATCCCACTGGGAAAATTAGAGTGTCATTGACTTCTCTCCCAATCTGACTCAAAGATTATGGGAGCAATTGAGCCCTAACAGTGAAACGAGATTTTGGGTAATCTCTGGCCTCTTCTTACATGACACCAGTAAATGCTTGAATAAACTATCACGTGCCTGAACCCTACTCTCCCCTGAAACTTATTGCCTTCGAATGAATTGCTCCTACATTTCCCAACCCCATTCCCCTGCCTTCTTCCCATCATCTTTGATCTCCTTACTATCTATCACTTTCTTAAATACACTCAATGACTTGGCCTCCACAGCCCTCTGTGGCAATGATTTCCACAGATTCACCACCCACTGGCTGAAGAAATTCCTCCTCATCTCAGTTCCAAAGGGTCATCCTCTTCACTCTGAAACTCTGCCTTTAAGTCCAATTCTGTCCTAGTAGTGAAAACATCCTCTCTATTTCCACTCTAACTAAACCTCTCAGCATTCTGTAAGCTTCAATCAGGTCCCCCCTCATCCTTCCAAACTCCATAGAGTATTGATCCAGAGTCCACAACCACTCCTTATATGCCCTTCCTACCTGGGATTATTCTTGTAAACTTCCTCTGGAGCCTCTCCAATGCCAGCACATCCTTCCTTAAATATGGGTCCCAAAACTATGTACAATATTCCAAATGTGGTCTAACATGAGCCTTATACAGCCTCAGTAGTACATGTCAGCTCTTGTTTTCTAACCCTTTTGAAATTAATTCTAACATTGCATTTGCCCATTGATTTGCACTTGCCCATTACTCATTTGCTGGAGCTCCAGGATGCCACATTCGGTTGAATGCAGCCTTGGTGTCAAGGGCTGTTATTCTCATGTCATCTCCAGAATTTAGCTCTATTGTCCATGTTTGAACCAAGGCCGTAATGCGGTCTGGAGCTGAGTGGACCTGGTGGAACCCAAACTATGCATCACTGAGCAGGTTATTGCTGAGCAGATGCTGATTGATAGCGCTGTTGATGACACCTTCCATCACTTTACTGATGATCAAGAGTAGACCGATGGGGAGTAATTGGCCGGTTTAGATTTGACCTGGTTTTTGTGAAAGGGCATACACAGGCAATTTTCCACATTGTCGGGTAAATGCCAGTGTTGTAACTGTACTGGAGAAGCATTTTCAATGCAGCCAGGTAAAGTTGATCTTGTCTGAAAGTTTCATAATTCTTCAAATACTTCATGCAGAAATCATTTTATTTTTGATTAGCGATTAAGGTTCATCAGCCGACCCTTTACCACACTCATCCTTCTGAACCCCTTCGTATAATCCTCGATAAAAGCTAGCAGATAGGAGGCATTGTCAATGAAAGATCTGTGTGTAAAATGAGAGTGGCTGGAATTGATGTTCTACTGGCTTTGCCACAGTTCACAACCCAAGTCACAGTGCTCCCTCAGAAAGCACAACCATACCCAGAAAATCTATTGGCCTGACCCCCCCCCACCATGCTCGGACTCAAACTAAACCACACAACCTATCCAACCTAACCTAAATATTTTCCCCATCAATCGCTTCAGAGATGTTACAACACAGCTCTGCAGCAGATAGGACTAGAACATGGGCCTACCACTGCATCACAAGAGGCTATGCAACTGCAGGATAGACTGTCCAGGCCATCACAACAGGCTGGGGCAACTGACACATCAGGGGATGCACCTAGCTATCCAAAATATAAACCAGATTTTGTATTGTCCCAAACTGAGTGTTCATAACTGCTATCCTATTCTTCTAATCAACCTGTTTAATGATGTTATTATACACCTCTGGAGTAGTTGCGAATTGAACTCATGCCTCTCTGTTCAGAGGTAGGGGCACTACCACAACATCGCAAGAGGGAATTTTTGTTCAATATATTAATTGGATGCTAGTTATGATACACAGGGGGAAGACAGTTAAGTTAAACAATTCGAGCACTTATAAAGAAGGATTGTCTCTTTAAGAGACTATCACCTGATTAACTTGATATAATTTGCCTTAATTGTTTTTATTGGTTTATCCAAATAGTATAAAGAGAGATCAGTCCCTTTAAGAAGCTATCGCATCATAATTTTGCTTTATTTAGTTTCACTGGTTTATTTAAAATGGTATAGAGAGGGACTACTAAAATACTGGACTAAAGACGGTTAAGCTGCTCTCTCTCTTGAGATGACTGGTGGTGATTTAAACTGAGGGTCACCATACCTCAGGCAAGGGGAGAGATTGAGAAGGAGAGTCCTTCACAGAACCTCAGCTGGTGCAGGGAATGAACCTACACTGTTAGCATCACAAACTGGCCATCTGGTCAACTAAGCTAACCTGCCCAAAATACTATGAAAGTGGGTAGAAAGTGGACATAATAATGTTGTATTCTGTAAAGAAATGCATAGCCAAGTAAAGTATTTGTGTCCCATTTTGTAGTTTAGGGACTAGCTTGGGACCACAAGAATAATGCCAACCCCTTGACAATATCATTCATGTAAAAATCAACCCATAATTTTTCGATGAATACATTAGCTTTAAAATTCAAATTTTACAGTCAAATTTTATATGGTGTTTTGCTCTTAATTATTGTATGATTAATTTTTGATGATATGCAAATCAATTTTTTAAAAAAATAGGATCTTCTCAAAACTAATGAAGTTTGTGCTTGACGACTGATTGTGGCCAATTGTAGAAATAATTGGTGTGAATGTATTGCCGTGTGGTTTTTTGGGACAGGGACTGTAACATCATTTGAAAGGTAATTGGGGAATTGCATGAAGTGGAAAGATACAAAAGTGTGCAAGGGAAATGAAATTAGAAGCAACAGGGTAGAACCTCTGTTGATCTTTATATTAACCCCTGTCACTTTATCTATATTAATACTCTATATCTACAGTAATTAATGCAGCAAATTGTTGATCTTAGATAAATAAATGTCCAGACTGAAGAAAGGTATTGGAAGGTTGGTCTGGAATTGGGTAGCTGTGGCCAGGTGAAGATGAAATGGAGACGGGTGAGAGTTGTGGATGGATATGAATAGAAAATTGGTTTCCTTTATTCATTCATGGGATGTGGGCATCACTGGCTAAGAAGCATTTGTTGCCCATTCTAATTGTCCAGAGGGCAGTTGAGAGTCAACCACATTGCTGTGGGTCTGGTGTCACACATTGGCCAGACTAGGTGAGAATGGAAGTTTCCTTCCCTAAAGGACATTAGTGAACCAGATAGGTTTTTCCTGACAATCAGCAATGGTTTCAGGGACATCACTAGATTCTTAATTCCAGATATTTTTCATTGGATTCAAATTCCACCATCTGCCATAGCAGGATTCAAACCCAGAACATTATCTTGATCTCTGGATTAACAGTCCAGCAATAATACCAGTAGGCCATTGCCTCACCTGGTTTGAATTCTCTTGACAGACATATGCTCATTTTCAAAACAGTTCCAGTTTTTAGATGTTGCTTCCAGACCCCAAAACCATCCATATCCCCAAAATATGGGAAGGTTGATACAAGTGTGGTAATAGTGGCAAAATAATGGTTATCTCCTCTATTACTTATGCCTTAGCACTGCTAAACATGCAGAATACCAGAGGGACAGAAGAGACGCTGGGAAAGCACGATGAATCAGACATTTTCAATGCTTAAGTCAACAGATTGAATCAATACATGGATCAACCAATGAAGACATCCAGCTCAGTAAATCACAGGCAGCATCTTGGAGTAAATAATATTTGTCCATGCAAGGTGGTTGTCTGACACTTTTGTGGTGCGGTAGTATGTATTCTGCCTCATCCTCCAAGTGTAGGCTTTTAAGTTTAGGTGGGAGTGCTGTCAAAGTCCTTTAAAAATGCAATTGAGACCAATTCTGGAACCTCATCAGGAACAGTGGAACTCTTATTCTATCACATTGAGGTTGTAACTGCAATTGTCCAAGTTATAGAAGCAGAAATGAGTCTGCAATCCTCATTGCTAAATATTGCTGCAGAGAGCACTTGGAGAGACAATGTGATATTTGTCTTTTTAACTTTGCTTCTTGTTTTTCTGACCTATGGTTATACTGTGTATGGCTGTAATGTAACTTTCTTTCTTCAATTCTCCATTCTGTAACTAAGGATTTTACCTCAGTAGCCTGTACCTAAGAAGGCGCCATGTGTTGGTGACATTGTTGCACTGTAACTAATCTTGTAACTGAAGAAGTTGTAGTCAGGTACCTTTGTGCCCAAGATGGTGCTGTAAGTGGTGACATAAACTTTTAATGACGACATTTATTTGAGTACGTGTGACAATAAAGCTTATTCAATTCGTTATTATAAACAGTATTTAATTACGGGAAGTCAGTGAGAACAGAATCAGGAATAACTGGGATGCCCACTGTGACGGAATGTCATGCCAATATTCAAGGTCAAGCCATACACTTGAGTGAAAGGCCAAATAGTGACATCGTGCCTGTACCCAAAAGCTTTACCAAGCCATTTTATAATTTCTTCACAAAAGGAAGCCAGAAATGTGGTAAGATAGCAAAAAATAAAGGCACGTTACAATGTGCTCCACCAAAATCTTGAGTGTTCGTTTACCCTGTATGATCATTTACATACCACACACGACATTGGAAGAATGCTAAATAAGCCAATGGGACATTCAGGCTGAAGAATGAAATAAATTAAGGGGCTCAGTGTATTTGTCATTAAGAGAGAGAACATATTTCATCAAACACAATCAAAGGTCCTGATAATGGAATAGGTTACTCACAGCTCTCCAACTGCATTATGCAGGTTTGAACATCCATTGGGAAATTCTTCAGATCCATTGGGCATGACAGAATTAAAGTCAATCTGAAAGATTAGATCAGTAATGTTGGACAATATTATTTTATGTGTACAATGAGTTCACAAAATGAAATGATTTCAATAAACAGTTTGAAACATTAAAGTGAAATGTGAACTTTACAAGCCTGATAAACAATGGGTGTAAATATTAATGTAGCATTGCTGAATGTATTTATATGGCATTTCACTCTGCTCACACAAAGAAATTTCTCAGTCATAGTTGGCAAGCTTTAGTAATTCACTGATGAACAGAGTGCTTTTTGTGCACATACAAGTAATGCAATAAATTATAACATAATTCATTTCCTCATGAGTAATTCAGGTAAAAGCAACTTAGCTCTGAAATGTGCAATGGTTACTCATAATGTTTGTCACTGGTTTCAATAGGTCCTGGTTGAGTTGGTTTGTATTGCTAACATATTGCACATTGCATAAGCAAAATTCTTCTAACGCTAAAATGTTGTAAAGACTGAGATTTTAGTTAACCGAAGATATGAGAAGAACGTTATCACAACAGAACACTTTATGAATATATAATAAGATTTCATCAGAAAAGTTATGTTCCAAAGCCAAACAGTTCATTCAGTTGAACCAGTTGTGTTGCACATCCTGGAGACCAATGCAGCACTAATGGAAAACATTTTTCACTCAAGGTGTGGCAGGGAGCTGGAACTCACCATCTGAAAGAATGGCTGAGGCAGAAACCCCCACCGCATTAATTAAGTAATCCAAAGTTTGGGATAAGGCTGGTGAGCTCTTTGTCAATCAGCAAGGATGCAATGGACCAGGTAACCTCTGTCAATGCGGTAAATATTTTTTATGATTTTAATAGATTGAAAATCTGCCACATTAGAATAAAATACTGATGATGTTCAAACTACAGTGTTATAAAGCAGAGGTTGACTCCCCCTCTGAGAACTAAATCCGAAACACCCAAAGAGGAGTATATTGCCCTTTAATTTGTAAAAAGAGTGCGGAAAGTAGTGTAACCTGCCTTTCAGCAACATCATAGAATCCCTACAGTGTGGAAACAGGCCCTTTGGCCCAACAAGTCCACACTGACCCTCAGAGCATCCCACCCAGACCCATTCCTCTCTAACCCACCTAATCTAAACATCCCCAAACACTATGGGCAATTTAGCATGGCCAATCCACCTAGTCTGCATGTGTTTGGACTGTGGGAGGAAACCCACACAGACACAGGGAGAATGTGCAAACTCCACACAGAGAGTCACCTGAGGCTGGAATCAAACCCTGATCCCTGGCGCTGTGAGGCAGCAGTGCTAACCACTGAGCCACTGTGTCACCCCATTCAGTGGTTAAACTAAATAAACCCCTGACACTCACTTTACAATCAATGAGAAACAATTAGTTATCTAACTCTAACAGTGAACAAATTAACTAAACTATTAACAAACCGAATAAAACCCATCTAACCACCAACTAATCCTCAATAAAACAAGATTCTAATAGCATGCTGCTCCAATAAATACAAGCACCACTTATATAAAATAAAGTTAAAGAAGTAGAATTTAGTCTTTCAAAATTACAGCCCGATTATGTGTCTTCCGGAATGCTCTATGTCTTCTCAATTGAATGTTCTGTCAGGAATGCCTCCTTCATTGATTCTCTGTCAGGAATATTAACCAGTTGTGCTGTTGGTACCTTTGATATTTAGATGGTGCTTTCTCTAAGACTTATAGGAGTCTGTGAGAGGCAGTGATTCTATCTTCAGAGCTGAGAGCTGTTAATACTGGCAGATGGCAGTTAATTCTCCTGTCTTTGTCCAACTGCCTTCTTCTTTTATACCCCTGACGACATATCAATTTCTTACAATCAGATTGGCCCTCGGTTATCAAAGTCATCAGATTCAAATTTGATTGATTTTTGGTATCTGCGTGCCTGGTTCAAATTGTTTGGCTAAATTCAAAAACCTGTTATCTTGGTAAAAATACTGCTTGGCCTTTTGATACAAGTGCTTCAATTTGGGTGCTCTCTGTAATTGTAAATTTTCAAGCTGCTCACAGACATCTCCAAGCATAGAAAAAGCACAATCCTTTAAAGGGACCATGCTATGCTTCCCGCTTAGCATTTTACAAACACCAAATTCTGATGTCCGGCCTCCCAATCCACAAATACTCTATCCATGGCCTGGACTGAAATAATCACTGGAGAGTTTTCACTACTTGCACCTGTTTGTGGTTCCTGAAGAGGTTTTTAATATTAATTTTTATAGGCACAACGGTGGTAATGATGTATTAAAATGATTAAATTTACTAACAGACTGACTAAGACATATTAAATAAAATTACCAGATAATTAACCCAAATAACTCAAATACCAAATAACTCTTTCTAACTACCTGATATTTGAAATTTGGCTGCTGGCTGATAAATTAATGCTAATTATCTTGTGATAAACACATTTGCAGCGGTACTAATAAACCCACACCAGGTTACAGCTCTTATGTACATCAAGAATACTTCTTAATGCAATAAAGCAAAAACAATTAAATTCTGAAACACTGCAGTGTTTATGGGAAATTTTATGGTTGTGAAAAGGCAAACACGTTTGCGTAGAAACTTGAACTACAAAAGCCATTTGGAGACCCAGCACAAACTTGAAAACGGTTTAGAAACTTGGAAAAAATACCTTTCGGTGTTTTGAGCCTTCTCCACCATTCAATATGATCATGGCTGATCATCCAATTCAAGGCTTTGTTCCCACTTTCTCCCCATACTCTTTGTATCCTTTAGCTCTCATAACTGTATTGAACTTCTTGAAAACATTCAGTGTTTTTACCTTGTCATGGCAGGGGATTCCACAGACTCTGTGTGAAGGAGTTTCTCCTCATCATAACACCAGGTGGATTACCTTGTTTCATTAGACTGTGGTCCCTGGTTTTGTACCACAGGCTTACACTTGGATTGCTGTGCCATGAACAAAAAAACACATTCTCAGACTATTTTGTGTACGCCTTCAGAAGCAAGGAGAGAAGGGGAAAGGTAGCAACATGTACCACTTGCGTCATTCTGTCCTGACAACTCCTGAAGTTTTCCAGGGGGTAATGCATGCTTAAAAATGGCTCAAAATCATTACAAATAACTATTTGGTCCATTTATAAGCAAACTGTGTTTTAAATACAATAGATTTGTCAGTTAGAGGTGGTTACAGAAGGTTTTCTGATTCAGTCAGTGGTCAGGTTTGGTAGAGTTTAAGTGCGAGTGGGTCAGGTAGGGGGATTGAGAACAGAGAACTGAAGGAGGCTCAGGCTTTGTAATTGCCCTACAGGGTCCAGGCTCTGAAAGAAACAAAAGCAGAAATTGCTGGAGAAACTCAGCAGGTCTGACAGTATCTGTGGTGAGAGAAACAGAATTAATGTTCAAGTCCAGTGACCGTTCTTCAGTACTGATAGCCAACAGGAAAAGGTAGTATTTATGCTGAGGATGGTGGGGGCTGCAGGGGAAAAGAATGAGCAGATAGGTGGGGACAGAGCCCACAGAGAAAGTGAGGAAAGAAAAGTAGGCAGCCAAAGGGATTGTTGATCATAAGGCCAGGGAAGACAAAAATTTAAATATGGATAATGAGGACTGATTAATTGAAAGTGGGTTGGCTGTACTGAAAGCAACCCATTTCACGACAGGACCTGAAGTGTGGGGGTAGGTTATAGACGTGAAAGGAGATATTCATGCTTTTAAATTGTCAAACTCCATGTTGAGCCCTGAAGGCTGTAACAGCAAGTGGAAGATTGGGTGTTGTTTCTCCAGTTTGCACTAAGCATCCTGAGGACACAGAGCAATCCTGAGCCGGAAATGTTGGCATGGGAACACGGTGGTGTGTGGATGCGGTAGGTAACTAGAAGCTTAAGGTCATTTTTACAGACTGAATGTAAGTGTTCTGCAAAGTGGTCACCGAGTCCACACTGTGTCTCCCCAATATAGAAGAGAGCACATTGTCAGCAGCAAATAGACCAGGTTAGATTGAATGAATTGCAAGTTCTGCCTATTTGATGAAAGTGAAGGTAGCAAACTACATGAGCAACCTCAGCATGGCACTATGGCACAGGGAGCCCTTCAAGTGAGTGTTGTTAAGAAGAATCCAGAATTTAGAATTAGGTTTTATTGTTACATGTACTCAAGTACAGTGATACAGGAGTGCAGTGAAAAGTGTACAATGTCGTCATACATGGCACAAGATACAAGGTACCTAGGTTCAAAATCTTAGGTAAAAAGTAGAAAAATAAAAGAAATAAATTAATAGTTCAACATTACAGTTTTTCTCAATATAAAGTAGTAAATAAGAAATAAAGTTAAAAGTTCCAAATTACAGTCCCTCTTTAACCAAGGGCCTGCAGTTGCTCCACGCTGGGCTTTCCCCACGAGGGGTCAATCTCTCTCCTGCGTTGGGTTTGATCTCTCAATCCCCTTGCATCTGCATACCATCTCACTGTCAACCGCTATCCGGGCTCACCAGTCATCTTGCCACAGGCTGGACCACCTGCTCTGGTGCCGTTGTGGGTCCCCAGCCACTTCCACGAAGCCGCTTACCACCAGAATTCTGCCCGGGCACACCAACTGCCTCGTGGTGAACTGGCAAAGTGCCCCACTCTGGGCCCTAAGCTACTGCCATTGCAGTTGTAGTGGTAAGGAGGGGGACAGTATAGTCAGAGGAATAAATATAGTTCTCTGCAGCTGGTAGCAAGAGTTCAGAAAGCAGTGTTGCATACCTCGTGCCAGGGTTTGGGACATCTGCAGGAGAATTTGCAGAGGGAGAGGGAGGAACCAATAGGCATTGTCCATGTAGGTAACAATATCAGTCGAAAGGGGAAAGAAGTTCTGCTGAAAGAGTATGAGCAGTGAAGAGTTAAAGAGTTCAATTGAAAGCAGAACTATAAGGGAAATAAACTCTGTATTTTCACTTCAACCAAAAGCAAATTGACGTAGGGTAAGTAAAAGAGATGAATTCATGGCTCATGTGGTCATGGTTAATGAGACAGTTGTGGCATTGATTTTAAATTTCCAAAATTCCCTAGATTCAGGGAAGGATCAAATAAATTGAAAAATAGCAAATTTAATTTCTTTACTTAACAAAAGCGTGGACAGAAAGCAGGAAACTACTCGTCAGTTATTTTATTATCTGTCATAAAGAAAATATTGGAAGCTACTGGTAAAGACATTATAGCAGGACACTTAGATAAACTCAGGGTAATCAGATTAAGTCAACATGGTTTTCTGAAAGGGAAATTATGATCAACTGTTTTATTGGAGCTCTTTGAGGAAGTAACGTGTGCTGTGAACAAAGGGGAATTGGTGGATGTTTAGTTTTACAGAAGGCATTTGACAAAGCGCAACATCAAAGTTATCATAGAAGATAAAAGCTTATGGTGTAATAGGGAACAAATTGGCATGGATAGAAGATTAGCTGGCTAACAGGAAGCAGAAAGCAAGCAGAAATGCATCTTTTTCTAGTTGGCAAATGTCATGAGTGGTGTGCCACTGAGATCAATGTTGGGTCCTCAATTTTGTACAATTTATATCAATGACTAAGATGCTGGTGACATAAAGATAGGTAAGAAACTAAGTTGTGAAGAGGATACAAAGGGCTTACAAAGGGATATAAATAGCTAAATGAGTGGGCTAAGATTTGACAAATGGAGTATAATGTGGGAAAATGTGAAATTGTCAAATTGGCAGGAAGAATGGCCAATCCTCTACCTTAATGCCATAATGCTACTTTCTCTCCTTACTCCTTTATGCTTTAATATCGAGAGTAATATACAGCTAAATAATATGTAAAAGGTTCTCCATATTGAAATGGAAATGAACCATATGAGGCTAATCAATTATCCTTCATTCATTGTAGCTATGGCTCTTAATCTCAGTTCTGTCATGTTTGAAGCACAAGGTGGAGAGGGAGTCCTGCTCATGACCAATGTTTTGCTTGGTGCAATCTGTTTTTGATTTTGTCTTGATGAAGAAAAGGATCTGCCCTAAATTCTGTGAGATTTAGCAAAATTTGTGTTCCAGTTTTGATAATTGCTCACATAATCCAAGTGTAAATCATGGCTTTTCTTCACTCCTCCCTTGAAAACAAATGGCACCCATAGGGTTATATGATGATGGAGCTCGTGAGCTCCAAGTAAAAAGACGAACTCCAATACACCTCAGTCACATGTCAATAAGCTTCCAAGGTTGTCAGATGATTGTCAGACAGATGGACTATCAACAGGATGTGCAGACTGGAGATTAATATGAATCAGATTGAATCACTCATGGATTTCAAAACCATCACCAAGGACCAAAGCACAATTTGAACCTTTCAAGGTTCCCAGCTATGGTCTAAGTATATCCTCCTGTTGCTTTGCACCTCTCATTGCAAATTGCTTCCCACTATGAAGTGTCTGCAGCTGGTGAGTGCCTTTCGATGCTATGTGCATCCTGTTGCTGAATGTTTCCCTCTGACGAATGGTAATGGTGATTAGCATTGTAAATGGCCAATTGCCATTCCTGCAAGTTTTCTGTTTGTAGTTGCTGGTATTTCAAAATTGTCAGCCTTCAACTTTCACCTTTCACTGTCCAATTGATTTTGTTGTTATCATGTACTATAACAGCATTTATATAGTGCCTCCATTACCATGGAATCATTGGGAATGCTTCATGGAGGGCGGAGCTGTCAGTCCTATCAGTTTGACCAGTTGGCGTAAGCTCTCCCGGCCACAGAAGACAGGGCGAACCAATCAACAACAAGCAGCTCCAACTGGGTATGCCGGGTGAAAGCGTAGGTCATATGAGTAAAGGCAGAAGTATTCAGATTCTTGTTAGGCAGAGGGACTAATATCGGGAATGTTGGGAATGTGGAATTCGAAACGTAACAGATGTTCCATGAGCTAATTGAATGCCAGAGCTGCCTCGAGGGGCTGAATGGTCTACTTTTGTTCTTATTTCCTAAGCGTTTGAAATCCCTTACCTCATGTCATATTTTGATTGAAGTGACAAAAATCACAAGTTTCCAAGAGTAGCCTTTTGGCAAAATTCCACAATATAGAGCAGCAGAAACAAGCCAAGAAGGCAATAAGTTATTTTTAAAAAGTGGAAGTCTGAAGATTGGCAGTTAGGTGAACTTATTGATTCCCTAGAGTATGATGCCCTGACCCATCTTTGAAAACCTACAGCCTGCAGTAATAACCATCTGTCACTCTCTTCCCTAATTTTTCTGGACCGTTTTTAAGTTCAATCATTATCCTTTACGTGAGTAACTGCAATGATGTATGAGCAGGCAAATTCAATATTTTTAATTAAGTGCAATTGGTGAGAATGAGACTGGAGAAGCAGGATAGACAAGTTTGTGAGCACAGATTCCACTGTTTATGGGCTCAGTTTGTTTCCAGCAAAAATAAATCAAGTTGTAATTCGGTTATTGGGAACCTTAGCAACACATTACACAAGAACAATGCAATCAACCCTGCTGTGTGACGTGGTGCCATGTCTATCAGAATAGTGGAAACAGCGGTTAATTTCAGTCAGCCTGGAATTTCATTCTGCCAACTGGAGATACTGTGGTTATGAAGCTTTGATTTGGGCTGAAGGTAAACAATTGCTCACAGGAAAAGCATTTGGCAGACAGAAACAAACAGATATCGAAGTTATGGTACCAATGCTATTCATTACCGCCACTCAGTGTCTCTGGCTGCCTACCTTATTGAATAAAGGACAAGCCCATTTTTAAAAATTCTCAATAGCTTGTTCTCTGTTGTCACCTCGTGGAAGTTGGCTCCTTTCTCATTTGCAAAGAACAAATCTGGTTTCCAGATTGAATCCAACATCGATGGGTCCAAGTCTAAAGAATCATCTGGGTACTCACTGTATGCCAGCCTGGGGTCATTCCACTGCTGGCGCAAAAAGATGTTTAAACGGTAATCCTGCAGAGAAGAAGAAACAAAAAAGATTAATATGTTGGCTTTCATTCAAAATAAATGGCCTCTTTGGAGCTGAAGCATGACATGAGTTCAAAGTTCGAATCATAGAGTCATAGAGGTTGACAGCACAGATAAAGACCCTTCGATCCATTGAGTCTATACTGGTCAGAAAACAACCACTTGATTATTCTAATCCTATATTCTAGCACTTGGCCCATAGCCTTGTATGCCTTGAAACTGCAAGTGCACATCTAAATGCTTCTTAAATGTTATGAGGGATTCTAATTTTACCATCCTTACAGACAGTGAGCTCCAGATTCCAAACACCATCTGGGTGAAAACAATATTCCTTACATCCCCTCTAAACTTTTTACCCCGTACCTTAAATCAATTCCCCACACCCCAGTCACTTGATTTTAAAACATGATGACATGAGTTGAAGTCCCACTTTTGAAAGTTGAGGCCATAACTTTGGTAACCCTGTAATACGGGTGTGCTCTGATGTCCTCAAAGATGCTACTCTGTCAAGGTTAGGACAATAAGATGCCCATTCAGCCACTTGCTTGACCACGCCAAGATAGCATAGCACTGTTCAAGGACAAAAACATGAATTGATCAGTCATTATTCTGTCACCAGCAGGGTCTTGCTGCACATACTAATTATGTGGAACAGCTCGCTAGGAAAGTGGAGTTGGTGCCAAGATCAAATCCTCTTGTCTCCACTTCCCCACTCCCCCCGACGGGGAGACATTCAACTTTGCCCACAATGAAATGTCTTCGCCTCCTTACGAACCCCACCATTACGCCTCAATGACACCCACCCTGTTTATCTGTACTGAGGAAATCATAGTAGTTGTCACTGCCACTAATCTCCCCTTCCCCATCCTGTAGCATACCAAGACTTTCAATGCTTTTCTGTCTAGCTGCATATACCTGGATCCTCGCAACTTCTTCTACCAGTGGCTCTGCTTGCTCTCCAGGTTGGACTCTCCCCCAACCTACCACCACTACCTCCTCTCCCCCCCCACCCTTGGTATTGCTAAGAACATAAGAAATAGGAATGGGGGTAGGCCATCTGGCCCATCGAACCTGCTCTACCATTCAATAAGATCATGGCTGATCTTTTCAAGGACTCTGCTCCACTTGCCTGTCCTCTCACTATAACCCTTAATTCCTTTACTGTTCAAACATCTATTGATCTTTAGCTTAAAAACATTCAATGAGGTAGCTTCAACTGCTTCACTGGGCAGGGAATTCCACAGATTCACAACCCTTTGGGTGAAGAAGTTCCTCCTCAACTCAGTCCTACATCGGCTCCCTCTTACTTTGTGGCTATGCCCCCTAGTTCTAGTTTCACCTGCCAGTGGAAACAACCTCCCTGCTTCTTTCTTATCTATTCCCATCATAATTTTATATGTTTCTATAAGATCACCCCCTCATTTTCCTAAATTCCAATAAATATTGTCCCAGCTTACTCAATCTCTCCTCATAAACAAATCTTCTCAACTTGGAAATCAACCTAGTGACCTCCTCTTCATCCCCTCCAGTGCCGGTACATCCTTTCTCAAGTAAGGAGAACAAAACTGTACACAGTACTCCATGTGTAGCCTCACCAGCACCCTATACAGCCGCAGCATAACCTCCCTGTTTTTAAACTCCATCCCTCTAGCAATGAAGGACAATATTCCATTTGCCCTTTTAATTATCTGTTGCACATGCAAACCAACGTTTTGTGATTCACACACAAGAACTCCCAGGTCCCTCTGCACAGCAGGATGCTGCAGTTTTTCACTATTTAAATAATAGTCCATCTTGCTGTTATTCCTATCAAAATGGATGATCCTCTTTCTGCTGCCAGTATGGGCTTCCTTTGGACCTTCCTGAATGGCCAAGAGATGGACTCCTAGAAGTATACTCACCTCAGACCTCTGGCAACCTTTGGGCAGCACCTGGACATGACTGAGCATGCCCCTGACTGCTGTATTTGTAGCTCCCTGGCAGGGGTACATCATTCCCCTGATGACTTGCAATGGCCCCACAAAACTGACCACTGCCCAGTCTCTGGACTGAAGTCAGACAGATACCCCTGACTGTGAGTATCCCAAGCAGATGACTGATGGTTGCCAGGCCTCTGGACTATGTGCGGACTGTGCCTATGTCCCACTGCAGAAAACTGTGCAACTGAAATCCCCTGACTGAACCTACCCCCACTTTGACTGGACTGAGGACTGGCTCCTACTCACTTTCTGGCATGGCATGGCATGGCAAGACATGATGCAGGTAGGCATTAAGTGAACGAGCGATAAGAGAGCAAATGAGCAGCCCAAAGGTGCAGCTGATTGTGACCTGAGTTCCTGTGCCTGCTCACAACATGTCTTTGCTGCAGCCTTTCGTTGCTAGTGGTGGTGCACCCTGCCAGGCAATTCTCTACAAGAGAGATGTCAAGATGGTTGCAAGGGTTTAGAAACAATGTTTGTGGACAAAGACCGCTGGTCCTTATCGATTATGCTGCTGGGAAACTGTTTTGTAATGTGCAAAATGGAAGCCCTTCAAAGCAAGTGGTGAGCTGAACTCGCCAGGTACACAGTCTGGTTTCCATGACAAGTGTTCTCGATGGTTAACCTGTTTGGTAGGTGAGAAATTTGGATATCAATGAGGTGAGTTGGTCTGTTAATGAGGTGATTAACAAGCAATAACTTCCTGTAACTGGCAAGAAACTGCACAGCTTGTCAAAGATGGAGTGAAAACTTCAGATATCAAGATAAGCCTCACCAGATTTCTCTGCCAAACATCAAGGCTCCATTAGCAACACCTTTCAAACACTGAACTTCTACCATCTAGGACAAAAGTAGCAGACGTATGGGAACGCTACCACCTATAATTTCAGCATCACTTAAAACTGTATTGCCATTTGAACCCATGCTATTGGCATCGCTCTGCATCACAAACCAGATGTCCAGCCAAATCTCTGCAAGCTATTAAAATTGAGTTGTTATGCCATCATTATATATTCTGCAAATAAATCTAACATCTTTCACATGGAAATCAGGTGTAACCAATATATTTGAGTTTTTTTTTGACAAAGTTATAAAGCACAAACTTATGGTGCAGTGGGAGTGACCCTACCTCTGGATCAGGACACTAGGCTCCAGAGGTATGTCCTAACATCTTTGAACAGCTTTATTAGAAAATATCTGAAGAAGGAACATGTGGTGTAGATAAGGGAGAACCACTTTGAGGATATTACATGGTAGATGGTCAGGGCATAACACTATTCCCTACATTCACAGACAGATTTAGCTATTTTTGAAAGTTTCCAGACGAAATGAGTTTGTTATAAGCTTTAGTATTGAAAACCATGTGTAATTTCACATGTTTAAGAAGATAATTTTGTGAAGTTGGGTACACTACTTGTGAATTGGAAGGCAGGGCATTAGAATTTATTTGTAAAATGATAGCGGGGAGGAACGTGTTGTCCCTTTAAAAGTTGATGCATTTTTCTAGGCTTGGAGATTTTAAAAATTGTCTGCAGGCAGCAAAAGATGCACAGAGAGTTCTTGAAATTGAGACATTTGATCAGAACGGCTATACTGTTAGCAGGCAAAATAGCATTTTTATCAAGACAACAGGCTTTTGAATTTAGCCAATTAATTTAAACCATGCCCTAGATACCAAAGACCAACTAAATTTAAATTTGATGGTTTTGACAATCTTGGACCAATATTACTGTAAGAAATTAATAGGTCATCAAGGGTATAAAAGAAGAGGACATTTGAAAATCGGTGTGAGAACAAACTGACATCTATTAAGAGAATAGCTCTCAACAGTCATCAGCTCTAAGGAAAGAGAAAATCTCTGGCTTGCATAGAAATCTCAAATATCTCAGAGTAAGCACCATCAAAATAAAGGCAATACGACAGTCTTAGCTAATATTCCTGACACAAAAATTCAATGGAGGAAGGCCCATTCACAAACCCATGCAAAAATGAACTGGAAATGACACAACCCAACTTAACAGACCAGATTATATAAATTCTAAGCAGAGTAGAATAACGTCTCTTCATCGGAGGATGCACTGATGATGTTACTTATCATGGTGACGAAACATGTGTACGATAACCAGCCAGCTCGGCGAGCAAGCCAACAATCTCATCCACAACCCAGGCTACAAATCTTCGCAAGAACCTTAAATGCATTCCTGACTGGAGGACAGTGGAGAAGGGAAAGAACATTCCAGAAGATTTTTCCTGGCTGTAATTTTGAGAGATTAAGATTTTTTAAAATTAATTTGGTTTTTATAAGTGGATCTTACATCTATTGGAACAGCATACCATTAGAATTTTGTTTTATTCAGGAATAGGTAGTAGTTAGAGGGGAATTGTTTGGTTTATTAGTAGTTATGTTAATTTGTTAACCATTAGAGTTAGATAAAAAAAAGTTACTTGTTGATTATAAAGTGAAGATCAGGGATTTCTTTCATTTAACTACTCCTTTAACAGATTACGAGGTGAGGTGAGCTTCTCTGGATGTTTCAGTTTTTATTATCAGAGAGGAGTCAACCTCTCCTCTGTAACAATAAATGACAGAATATATGTATTTGCAGGTAGTGTCGTCTGAATTTCTGGTATTGTCTGGAATTTTAATTTCCTCCTTTGCCTGCTGGGTGTGGATTGCCAGGTAGGGCAACGGTAATGTGGAATTGGGTACAAAGGGATCCATGCTATGTCCAGCATTTGATATCTGCTGCTGGTAATTTATCCATATTGACTTCCAAACACATGACCACTTCCATCTAGAAGGACAAGGGCAGCAGATACATGGGAACACCACCACCTGCAAGTTTCCCTCCAAGCCA